CACACACCTGCCTGCGGGAAAAAGAGGGGGGGGCCTTTAGTGAGACGCAATGAAAACAGGACTTTAGGTGAAGCATCCTCGTGTCTTACCGGGACATTTCCTTTGGAAAGTCTAGGTGGCCCGTCTTTGTGGGTTAGCACCCCTTTCCTCGGACTTCCGTACGCTGGAAACGCTTCGATCTTTGAAGCACTTTAAGGGTGTTTGGCGCCCATTTCATCCTGCGGATGCCAAGGAGGAAGGTCGTGGCTCACGTGAGGGCTCAGCTTAACGAGCTCAGCAGAGGCTTTGCCAGAACGTTCGGCAGCCGGGACCTTAACCGTTTTTGTGCCGGGGTGAAAGGTACAGCAACACGGGAAAGTTTATAGACCATTTCTCAAAATGTTTTAAAATGCAGAAATATAGTTTGGGATTACAAAGGAAATAAACTGATAAAAGTTACAAAATATTTTTAACTGTAATATAGTAATGGGTGCTTCTTAAATACAATCTGGCAGCAGTTTGAGTAACTGCTATAGTTTCGAAGTAGTAAAGAGCACCGACAGCGTTTCAAGGTATTCGGGTCAACTGTTGCGTAACATTAAAATACCTAATTCCTTTTGGCGACAGTCACTTGCCTACATTCATAATGGAAGAAAATGCTATATTTCAGTTAGAGGCGGGAAAGGAAACGTTTCCCTGATCAAAGACTGTCGTGTTAAAGGGAATATTTTTTCCTGCCCAAAAGTATAGGGAATAGGTACAGGTCAGTGCTTTGGTTAAAAATGGATTCCATTCACTCAGCACACAGCTACTATATTTTCTGGTGAGCATTTTTTTAAAAAATATGTTTTTATTGATTTTAGAGAAAAAGGGAGAGGGAGGGAGAGAGAAAAACATCCACGAGAGAACATCGACCGGCTGCCTCCTGCACGCCCCCTACTGGAGATGGGGCCCGAAACCCAGGCCTGGGCCCTGACCAGAATCGAACCGGCCACCTCTTGGTGCAGGGGACGGACACTCAACCACCGAGCCACGCCGGCCGGGCTGGAGAGCACTCTCAGTAACCCAGCCTACATTTGTATAGCACTTCATACTTTTTAAAGCACATTTGCTTCTTGTCTCATCTTGTGAATCTAAAATAATTGCTGTGTGTTAAACAGCCATATACTTTCTCACTAGCAACATTGAGGTTAAGGGGGTCACAGCTGTGTCAGGAGAAAAAATGGGTATTAAGACCCACTGGCTTCTTAAGTTTCTCAGTGGTGGACTTTCTGTTAAAGATAAACTTAGGTAGGAAGATGATGCATTGACTGAGAGGCCCGAAGAAGCTGTAGTGGGTTTAGCGAAGTAAAGATCTCCCCTAGAAGTAAGAAGTGTGGGCAGTGGATTGCAGGTTTTTAAATGTTATAGGCCATTTTCCTGAGCGTTTTGTGGAGAAGACAGCTGGCTCATTCATTCATTCAAATGCGTGCGGAGGGCCCTTCCCAGAGCCCACTGGGCAAAACTGCACCCTGCTCTCTCCCTTCACAATCCCACTCCTCCCGTGCCTGCTGCCCTGGGGCACCCCCTGCCACCCCTCCCTTTCCTGAGCCCCTCACCTTCCAGTTCTTCCCCCTCTCCTCACCGTCGTCTTAGTTCCTCCCCCGTGTGCCTTGTGTACCCTCCTCCTTTCCAGCCCAGAGTGTCCCTGTCCCAGCTCTCAAAACAAAACAGAACGAAATGGAGCGGAAGAGCTGAGACGCTTTCCTTCTGTCTGGCCCGTGCTGTGGCCCAGCTAAATCCGTAGCAGAGCGCAGGTGCTCCCAGGCGCGGAGCTGCAAAGGTTGGCGGGGCCGAGGGAAGACGGCCCGTGGTTTCAGACAGGGTGACTTGTTCCTTGTCTCTGTGTCTCCATAAACTTCCTGCGTGTAACCAGAACCCGTGAGAAGATACGTGGCTTTGACTAAGACATCTGCCGTTCAGCCCCGCACCCCGCGGCCCCCTCCTGACACGTGTCTGGCTGTCGCACCCGGATCCTCAGCCTCTCGCGGAAGCTGCACACGCCCTCCCGTGGGCACGCCCCGTGCCCGACGCCGCGCGCAGCCTCTCTTGGTGGATAAGAGGAAGCACTGATTTTCTTCTAAACAGCTTTATTGAGGAATAATTTACACGCCATAAAATTCAGTCTTTCTAAGGGTATTAATACAATGATTTTCAGTAAATGTAGAGACTTGTGCAGCCGTCACCGTCGGCCACTCTGGACACATTCCTGTCGCCCGGAGAGCACCGCCCGGCCGCAGCCACTCGCCTGCCCGGACAGCCCGCCTCCCGCCTCGGGCGGCCGCTCTCCCGCTGTCTCTCGGCTTTTCTGTTCTGGGTTTTCATATAAATAGACTCATATGACACGTGCTCTTTTGTGGCGGCTTCTTTTACTTTATGTGGCTTCTCTTGTTAAGCCTCACAAAACTCCGAGAAGATATTCTCCGCTCTTTACCAGACTGAGGGATTCTAACTGGGGTTAAAAATCACTTGTCCACAAACAGAGTAATTTACTGTCAGACACTAGTGCTCGAAGCCAGTTCTTTCAGACGCCAGAGCCTACGTTCCTAGCCCTTGTTGTGCTGTGTCTTCCTAATGAGAAGCTGAAGAAACGAAATGAACTGTGGACTTAGGAGTCAGTTCCATCTAGAGGGTTCTGTTTCCTTGAAGGTAAAAGTTAACATCTGGGAAGTGTGTTAATTTGGGACAGCTCGTTGCTGGATAGAGGGGTTATATGTCAGCAAGCCAATTTCTGTTTGTGCTCCCATGACAGTGAATTTTAAAATGAGCCAGGTTGCCCTGGCCAGTGTGGCTTGGTTGGTTGGTGTCCCGCACATGGAAAGGTTACCGGGCCAATTCCTGGTTGGGACACATGCCTGGGTCTCGGGCGCGGTCCCAGGTAGGGGGCGCGCAGGAGGAACCGGCCGATGTTTCACTCTCACATCGATATTTCTCTCCCTCTCTCTTCCTCTCTCTCTGAAAGTCAATAAAAAATCTTAATAAGTAAATAGTGTGCCGGGTTAAGCTCCCTTGAGTGGTGACACGTTGCGTGAGAATGGGTTACAGAGTTATTCCCCAAGAAGCTGATGTTCTGCCCCTCCTCTTAGCTCCTCTTAGCGTGTGCTCGCCCCCTGCTCAGTGGTGACTGTTTTTACAGCTAAGAAGAAACTTCCCAACTTGCCTGTCTTCTTGGAAGACTCCTCCTCGCGCCCTGCAGTCCTCCCAGTCGGAAGCTCTGCTCAGTCCAACAAACAATGGGCTGCCCTGCGCCCCCCTGCAGACGCTCACCGCCGAGGAGATGCTGATAAAGACCTCAGGTGAGCCACCTCTCAGCCCCGTCTCGTTGCCCCTCTGGCCAGGGGTCGGGTCTGTGATGTGAAATAGGTGGCACATGGCACGACTGGCCAATCCGTTGGTCTGTGTTCGTAAATGGAAGTTTTTGACATTAATTTAAAAAGTGTTTTTTTAAAAAGTATGCCGTGCTGATAGGATAAATACTTACCAGTATTTTCCCCCCTACAGTTAAAAAATTTGCCCAGGAACAAATTGCTCCTTTGGTTTCAACAATGGATAAAAATGCAAAGATGGAGAAATCAGTAATACAAGGATTGTTTCAACAAGGGGTATGTGATTCATAATTCCTCCAGTTTCAAGCTTCTGTAAATGCTTTCCGGGGTTAAAATGTGTGCACAGTTCTAAATTTAGGAAACAGCATCATGAGCTCTGCATTTCCCAGTGAGAACTGTCGGTGTTCTCTGTCAGGTGGAGATCCTAAAGATTTTTTAATTGAACTAAAACAAATTAGAAAAACTTGGCTTATAAGCAGATTGGCAGCAGGAGAGGGATCCCCTAGACGGCTGGTCCTTGTCCAGGAGCCACTTCGTCCCCAGGAGACGTCTGGTGGGGTCTGGAGGCATTTTGGGTCGTCACACGGGGAGTGGGTGCTGCTGGCACAGGGTGGAGGCAGGGATGCTGCGAGCGCCCCATAGGATGCACCCCCC